GAGCCATTCCAATGTCACATGGCAAAAGGTATAGGTGAAAGGAGGGTGAATGATGGAAGCATTACTAAATCTACAGTTTACCTAACAGGTTAGAGATAGAAAAAAGACAAACCCAGGCCTCTTGTTCCACCTCTACACAAATGCCTTTTATATCATTTCTAGAGAATACCAATTTGAAACAGATTGGTGTTTTTTTGAGTGATCATATGTAATGAAGACGTATGACAGTCTTGTAAATCCTTTTAAAAATCATGTGTGTCTCTCTCTAATTTGAGAGAAGAGCTTTTTTTTAGAGATGAGATCTCACTTTGTCACCTCGGCTGGAGTAAAGTAGCAGGCTCGTAGCTCACTGCAGCCTTAAACTCTGGAGCATAAGTGATCCTCCCCGCTCAGCCTCCCAAGTAGCTAGGACCATAGGCACATACTATCATGCTACCATGCCCAACTAAATTTTTTTTTTTTTTTTTTGGAGAGACAAGATCTCACTATGTTGCCCTGGCTGGTCTCAAACTCATGGGCTCAAGTAATCCTCCCACCTCAGCTTCCTAAAGCCCTGGGATTACAGGTGTGAGCCACCATACCAAGTCCAGAAAAGAGCATTAAATGGGAATGAATATAGATTCCTTTTTCTCTTACAGAATTTATTATGTAGATGCAGAAATTTGCAAGGGCATTTTTCAGAATCATCATTTTTCCAGTGTTTTGTTTGTGAGACTTATCAGAAACACATTACCTGCTACAATCCCATCAATAACAATGAGAGAAAGAGAGAGACCACGAGCTCCGAGTCTAAGATATTGGTCATGTTCAGTAGACTTTTACGAAGCCGAAGGTTTATGTTTAGGCTCCTACTTCATGTTGAAAGAAAACTGTCACCTTCTCATCATCAATTGTAATGTATAGTTTTTCAGATATAATTGTTACTATGTAAACTAATCCTTTGCTACCTGTAAACTGATTGTATCCAATGTTTTAGCAGCAGAATTTGGCACACTGGCACAGAAAACCCACACAGTAATGGCAAATACACAAATTTATGTAGTAACTGCTTGATAACGTGTTAAGTAGTTTTATTTTTCATTTGTATTAGTGAGAAAATTCTTGTTACACATAACTAATTAAACTGCTGATGGTTGGATAGTATATTTGGCTATCACCTGTTTTCTGGAACTGAACCAAGGTAGAATAATTCTATTTATAGGCTACTATGGAAGTTTCATTTTAATTACCCTGTCTAAAATGTGAGGATTTTTGCAGAAAAAAATTCTTAAACTGTGCGTCTCAAAACAATATACGTACAGATGACTTGGGCATCTTATTAAATGCCCTTTGTGATTCAGTGAATCTAGGATGGTGTATTAGTTTGTTCTCATGCTGCTGATAAAGACATACCCAAGACTGGGTAATTTATAAAGAAAAAGAGATTTAATGGACTCACAGTTCCACATGACTTGGGAGGCCTCACAGTCATGGTGGAAGGCAAAAGGCCTGTCTTACCTGGTGGCAGGCAAGAGAGAATGAAAATCAAGCAAAGGGGGAAACCCCTTATAAAACCATCAGATTTCATGAGACTTGTTCACTACCATGAGAGCAGTGTGGGGGAAACTGCCCCCATGATTCAATTATGATGATTCCCACGAGGTCCCTCCCATAACATGTGGGCATTATGGGAGCTCCCAGGAGCTGATGCTGCTGGTCCATGGACCACACATGAAGTAGCAAGGATGGAAAGAACTGGACCTCTGGTAGAGGTAGGACAAGGTGTAATTAATTATGAATGTTTTATCAGAAATGTGTGATTATTATTTGTATCCCTTTGAGAAGAAAAGCCCCTCTTAGATTTCTATAAAGAGCTGAAGTAGACATTGGGCCACTTAAGAGGGGCATGATATAATGAAACATTGAAGCCTCTGTAAGCTTATAGAGCAGTCTTCTTTGAGATAGGTACACTCCAGACCTGAGCTCCTACCTGAGGATAGGTTAGAGTGGTCTCTTCCACTGCACACCGTATGTTATGACAGAATGAGAATGAAAAAGGTAAATAACATCTTACTATTATTATGACAATAGTTTTGACCTCATGGGCTCACTGAGAGTGTCTGTTGAATCCTCAGAGCTCCCTGTACTACGCTTTGAGAAATGCTGGCATAGAGGAAACTATACATTGTATAACTGTGCCTATATTGTGAGAAACAGGGTAAATTTATATTGAGAACAGCCATGGAATCATAACATATCTGAGTCACAGTTAGTTTTGGATTCTCCTCATTGATACAAGCCCTTTGCGATTGTCCTGATTGAAACCATACTCTGGGCAAAATACATAGAAATGGAATGGAAATAAATTGGCTCAAAATATCCCCAGTGGTTAAGTAAACAGAAAACTTACATTTGGAAGAAGTGATAGCAATTACTGGTGGGGGGAAAAGACAACATTTAAAACAATGAGACAAAGAAGTAGGTCTGAGCATATGATTGAAAGATATGATTTCCAGATGCAGCAGTTTAGCCTGAATAATAGACCATCACTCTTGTAAGAAGGGGCTGGATACATTGGTTAGTAGAGAGAATTATAATGTCAAAAGAGTTATTATTATTGTAGTTGTAGTCAATTATGAAGTTGCATATTTCTCATCCCATGTTTTACTCATTGGACTTAGTTACTGGAAGATACCTTGGGCCGGAAAGAGGGACTTTCTGGACTAAGAATTGCAGCTCCTGTAGCAGCCTACTGTTTAGGCTGCATCTACTGCTCTTATTGTGCTTAATGATGGCCCAGGAAGGGTGGGCTGGTCCAGGGAGTAGTGAAAGTAGACTGGAGATTCATTGATTATAATTATTAATATTTTTTGAATACATTAAAAAGTGCTAAATGATTTTAAAGTACTGCAGTATATTCATCTACCAAATACATCGCTTTATACTCTTGTTCTTCCTCACTAAGTTGCAAAGAAATACATCGTTATTTTACACTTTAGGCACAGTGAACATGGGTCAACTAATCAAAGAAGTGAAAAACTTTGGGAAAGGAACCTCTTAACTATAGTCTTGTCTCTGCTGCCTTAGCAATGCTTGAAATCATTTGTTATAACTCAACTTACATACCAGCAGTCATGGGAATTGTGCCAAACCCATACTTATGAAAAGACAAGAATGGATACCACTAAGATAAGAGAGAAAATCGCATATTATTTAGAGGACAAAAATAAAGCCAAGGTTGAAATCTGGCCATAATGATTAGAGTAGGCCAAAATTAATTCGATTCAAGCTATTTTACCCTTAAGGGGTCCTTGGTTAAAACAATCTCAGGAACACAGACAATTTTAAAAAATAGGGAGAGGGCATAAATTTATTACCGGAAAGGGTAAATGATGTCACACTTATCACTGCTGTGGCAAAAGATGCAGCAAGCTGGGTTCAATATAGCCATCTTTCAAGACTAGAAAATATTTCCTTGAGCTGGTCTAGACTGACTCATGGTCTAGACTACATCGTAAAGTCCACTGGTTAGGTCGGTTAGCACAATCAGGGCAATAGTCCTACCTGGGTTAATCTGAACAGTGGCAACTAATTAGGTTGTATTAAAAGCTTGCTTATTGTAATAGTTTCTCAGCCATAATTTTCTCATGTAATATTCTCTGAAAAGAAAGCACTTTGGTTCCTAAACGTTCTATATAAATCTCAGTATCCTATTCCTCCTTCTTTCAAAATCTGAGTTCTACCATACATACTGCTGGTGTTATAAACCCCTAAAATTCCACTTCTGCAACAATACTAATAGTCATATATAGTAAGATTTTAACTATGATTTAAGCAAAAGACAAGAAGCCAATGTGAGATTGTTTTGATAGTGTGATGAATACAAAACTTTCTATTTTAGGGTTTCCCATCTGTTAGAATTAATTGGAATCTGTTAGATAGATGTAATTCTGCAGAAATTATGCTTTCCATTATTTTTATCACAATATATTGAATACCTACAAAGAAAAATGAATTTTTATTATAGCTATTTAAATTTCTTTACCTGCATTCAGAAGGCAGGGCATAAAATTTTTCTATTTTAACTTATATATGGGTTGTTAGTCATGTTGCATGGATTGCGATTTCTCTTAAGTAGAGTATTATGTTTTAATATAAAATATTTTTTATTTGTGAGTTGGTATCTGGATTTTAAAAACACTTTTCTCAATTGATAGAGCACTTCAGAGGTACTTATCTCAACTGAAACTAAAAAGGCAAACTTCCTAGAAATGCCCAGGACTGCTTTCTTAACAATTATGTCAGCTACATATACTTAGACCTGGATTGAGAAAAATCAAGAAGTCTGATAAAATAGACTAGAGATTTAGAGAAAGTGAATTGTTTGTTTGTTTTTTGAGAAAGTGGATTAATTGGATCTTTTAACTTGTAAATCAGTAATAAAGAAAATACCTCTGGTTTATAATGGATATGAAATTTGTATCATTATTAGCTTAGATAGCTCAGATTATGGTTAAAATTTTTCTTTTAAGAAGAAACAATAGAGCTGGAAATGATTTAAAAACTGAACCTTCAGCAACACATGAAATATACATGGTAGGTAGATTTTTAAAAATATAAATATTTAGCGATAAAAATAAATTATAGTAGGTTTGTTTAGGAATAATATCTTCTAAGAGAAAAAAAGAAAATCCTAGAAAATTCAGTAAATAAGGAGAAATACTAGAAATCTGAAACATTTTGTTTAACTAAATATCTTGCTGAAAGAAAAGATAACCCTTCTACATAATCTGTCATGGTTTTTAAGAACATGTAAGTGAATATTTGATTCTTGGCTTTTTTCTATTTTTTAATTTGTAATGCTCAATAACTTTCTTTTTGATATCTAATATGGTTATTCTGAACATTTATAAGATTGAGTCTAAAATTCTTTTACCATGTTGTTTTCTTAGTGTATGCTTAGTACGTTTTTAAAACTTTTTAATATACCTAACAATATACCTGTCTTTTTGCTCCTTCAGTAATCGTGTAGAAGCATGGACAAGAGATGTTGCTTTCTTACTCAGACAAGAAGGCAGGCCCATGGTTACTCTTATCTCTAATAGGACTAAAGTGAGAGTGATGGAAAAGGATTGGGAGAATATAGACAAAGCAATGAACTGGTTAAGAAAAAAGGCAATTAATTATACTGAACCATTTGTTCTTTACTTGGGATTAAATTTACCACACCCTTACCCTTCACCGTCTTCTGGAGAAAATTTTGGATCTTCAACATTTCACACATCTCTTTATTGGCTTGAAAAAGTAAGTAGCTACATTGTGTGGGCTCAAAGTAAATTTATATATGTGGCTTATTGGTATTTACCCATTGTTTTGTTTATTATCACTTTTAAAGAAAAATTTGGAAATTGTATATTCAAACTTGACCAATACCTGGTTCAGTAAAAAGTTAAGGGACAATTTTAAAGAAATAACATAAGTGTTAAATGTCAGAAACCTACTTCTGGATTGAATACATTTGCCAAGGATATGTCTATAAAAAGAGAAACTAGAAGGCATTCTCTTAGAAATGTAGGCTGTCCTCACTTTGCCCTGTACCAGATTGTGAAAATGACCATGCAAGCTGAAACCATATAAAACCACCTTCATAAATGGGGAAAATGACCATTTTCTAGAACCTTTAAAAATATTTGTCAAAATATTTAAATTGTTAAATATTTTAAAAATATTTTAACCAATATTTTTGGTTAAAAATGGAAAAAGAAAAAATAATATTTATATAGCACACTGTAATGAAAACACTGGAAACATTGAGAATTAAAGTGAGGATTTTTTTGGTTAAAAAAAAAAAAAACTTACCAATAGATTGTAGAGTGCTTGTCTTCTCATCATAAAAGTTACGATACAGAGAAAGCACCTTCTCTAAGACTTGGCAAATTGTCATTATTTCCTTCTAAATTTGGATTACTTTCCAACATTTTAACTTTTGCACTTTCAATGTAATGATATATCTCCAAGTTCCTTTAATGTGAAAATGTTTGCCAATGTCACTTTCTGTGGGACATCTTTATCCTTCACAACCTTCCTCATTTATGGTAATAAGTGTGCCTTCACTAAGTTGCTCCGGCTACCTATCTAGTGTCTCTGGAATGACAGCAGTGTCAGCATTTCCAGGTCAGCTATTTCTTCTATAACTTCATTTTCATTTGATTTGAATTTCACTTCCAGTCTTGTCACTTTTCCTTTTTTTACTGCATGTTCATCTTGGTTGACTTCTTTTCATTACTTCTTTTTATAAAGTGTCACATGAATTTATCACTAGCATGCAGGTACCTGCTTTCTTGTCTATACATGTACCAGAGAGCTAATCACTGACATACTTTAAAAGAAACAATATGATTAGTCACGGAATGCCATACATATCTGTTGTATACTCAGTGATTTATACTAAAAAGCTAGCAGCATATCAGTGTGAAAGTTTGGACTTTTTGCAATTATTCACAGTTAACATACCCTGGGAACTAAAGTTTACCAGGTTAACTTTGTTAGGGGACTGATATTATTTAACAAAACTGTGATAACTGAAATTCATGCTTATCAAACAAGATGATGCATGGTCTACCTGTATTTTGAAATGTGTAGTCTTAAATCAATTTTAAGTTACTTTGAAAACTAACCAGTTAATTCAACTAAAAAGCTTCTGCACAGCAAAATAATAATAATCAGCAGCAGATTAAACAACCCACAGAGTGTGAGAAAATCTTCACATCTGACAAAGGACTGATATTCAGAACCTGCAAGGAACTCAAACAGATTAGCAAGAAAAAAAAAATTCCATCAAAAAGTGGGCTAACAACATGAATAGGGCCAGGTGCTGTGGCTCATTGACTGTAATCCCAGCACTTTGGAAGACTGAGACGGGTGGATCACCTGAGGTTAAGAGTTTGAGACCAGCCTGACCAACACAGTAAAACTCCATCTCTACTAAAAATACAAAAATTAGCTAGACATGGTGGTGTGCGCCTGTAATCCCAGCTACTTAGGAGGCTGAGGCAGGTAAATTGTTTGAACCCGGGAGGCGGAGGTTGCAGTGAGCTTAGATCACACCATTGCACTGCACTCCAGCCTGGGCAATAAGAACAAAACTCCATCTCAAAAAAAAAAAAAAAAAAAAGAAAAGAAAAAAAGGACATGAATAGACAATTCTCAAAAGATATGCAAATGACCAACAAATATATGAGAAAATGCTCAACATCACTAATGATCAGGGAAATGCAAATTAGAACCTCAATGTGATTCCACCTTATTTCTACAACAAAGGCCATAATAAAAAAAAATTTTTTTTAAATGGATATTGGGGGAGATGTGGGATGTGGTGAAAAGGGAACAATTTTACACTGCTGGTGGGAATGTATACCAGTACAACCACTATGGAAAACAGAGTGAAGATTCTTTAGCTAAAAGTAGAGCTACCATCTGATCCAGCAATCCCACTATGTGGTATCTACTCAGAGGAAAAGAAATCATTATATGAAAAAGATACTTGCACATGCATGTTTATAGCAGCACAATTCACAATTGCAAAAATATGGAAACAGCCCAAATGCCCATCAGTCAACCAGTGGATAAAGAAATTGTGATATATATATACCATGAAATACTACTCAGCCATAAAAAGGAATGAAATAATATCATTCACAGCAACCTGGATGGAATTGGAGACCATGATTCTAAGGGAAGTGACTCAGGAATGGAAAATCAAATATCACATGTTCTCACTCATAAGTGAGAGCTAAGCTATAAGGACTCAGAGGCATAAGAATGATACAATGGACTTTGGGACTGTTTGGGGGGAAGGTGGGTGGAGGTGAGGGATAAAAGACTACACATTGGGTACAGTGTATACTGCTTGGATGATGGGTACACCAAAATTTCAGAAATCACCTTAAAGAATTTATTTGTGCAACTAAGCACCACCTTGTCCCCAAAAACCTATGGAAATAAAAAATAAAAAAATTTTAAAAACTAATCAGAAACACTATTTAGTCCATCCCATTTTAAAGAAATTAATGTCAGTGTTTTAGATATTTTATATCTTCTTTAAAAGTTCTAAGTGGCTTCATCTTCAAAATTTTGTCTGGAGTTAGTACTAGCCAAATGAAATGAGTTAAATTACTTTCAGCCAAATACTAAGTAAATGTTTGACATTTTTGAAAGTTACATGACTAATATATATATATGAATCAAAGATCTAGTCCTAATTGTTTTTTACCAACACTGTAAGTAAGCATTTATGTGTATTAAAAAGTCATATTTGTTTTTTACAAGTGCTTGACTACCTCACTAGGTATTGGCATTTTTACTAGAGAATTATTGGAGAAAAAGAGTCCCATAGTCTTACATTGTTGATTCTGAAGTTTTGGTCACATGACTATATATTAAAGTGCTTGGATACTTTTCTGGACTAGTATATACTGTCTAATATAGTTCATGTTTTTCAATGGCCTGTATAATTTTTAAAAATCTTACCACTATCTCATGATATGTATATAGATATTGATATATACCTCTTGTTTTTATGAGAGTATTAACAATTTATTCCTAATTTATGTATTGATTTACTATTTTATTTACATATTTTCAGACATTCTTTTTTTTTTTTTTTTTTTTTTGAGATGAAGTCACACTGTGTCACCCAGGCTGGAGTGGTGCAGTGGCATGATCTCAGCTCACTGCAACTTCGGCCTCCCAGGTTCAAGCGATTCTCCTGCCTCAGCCTCCCAAGTAGCTGGGACTGCAGGTGCCTGCCACCACACCTGGCTAATTTTTGTATTTTTAGTAGACATGAATTTCATCATATTGGCCAGGCTGGTCTGGAACTCCTGAGCTTGTGATCCTCCCACCTCAGCCTCCCAAAGTGCTGGGATTACAGGTGTGAGGCATCGGGTCCTACCCAGACATTCTTTTCTACTCTTCTAAGTAATTTCACATTGTTGATTTCACCATACATACTAATTGGAGGAAATAAATAGTACTATTTTGCTAGCATAACTATGTTTTTTCTCCCCTTTTTAGGTGTCTCATGATGACATCAAAATCCCAAAGTGGTCGCCTTTGTCAGAAATGCACCCTGTAGATTATTACTCTTCTTATACAAAAAACTGCACTGGAAGATTTACAGAAAAAGAAATAAAAAATATTAGAGCATTTTACTATGCTATGTGTGCTGAGACAGATGCCATGCTTGGTAGGTGGTATAATTAATAAGCAATTAAATGAAGAAAAAGTATAATATTTTTCCAACAATCAGTGATCATGCTGTTTGGTGACTTACATGAACAGCCTCAGATATTTCTTACAAGAGTTGCTTATAACTATAGGAATCTTGACACTTATCAAAACTGGATAACTTGCATTATTGAGAGAATGAAAAGCTCAGATTCATAGATGCTCAGATTTTTTTTTTTTTTTTTTTTTTTTTTTTTTTGAGACGGAGTTTCGCTCTTGTTACCCAGGCTGGAGTGCAATGGCGCAATCTCAGCTTACCGCAGCCTCCGCCTCCTGGGTTCAGGCAATTCTCCTGCCTCAGCCAGATTTATTCATACGTAAAGAAAGGGTCACAGAAGGCGATCATCTACTTGAAATGTTATACTGTCCTTAAACAGGAATTAGTTTTCAGCCAAACACAGGTACATGTGCGATGGGTAACTGTAAGGCAGCTTAGTTTCCTAGAGAGAGAAAGTTTATTTGTAGAATCCTGTGACTCCCCCAAACTTATAATTACTTCTCCCCAGTCCCTTTAGAGCATGATTTAACTAAAGTTTCTTCATGTATATTTCAGTCCAGAATCATATTGAATTTTTTTCCCCAATTCAAGCTCAAGACCCAACTCAAAACTAAACCTGCCTCCATCATATGATTCTCAAGAATGTATTGCCTGTTCACTTTTAGAGCTATGGAAGTTTCCAGTTCATGTGTGTAAAAACTTTGGTTTAAAAATCTATTTTATAACAAAACTTATGCATAATTATACTAGTGAAGTTACAGGTAGCACCTCTTCTGTACAGAGTAAACTTTGGGAGTTACAAGTGAATGGTTTTTGTTCAAAAAAATTCATTGGGTAAAAATAGAAAAGTATAGAGCAAGAAGCAAAAAGGCCATATGGACAAATTATAATATAGCAAATATAAAAATCTATTGGCCAGGGGTGGTGGCTCATGCCTGTAATCCCAGAAATTTGGGAGGTCAAAGCAGGTAGATGACCTGAGGTCAGGAGTTTGAGACCAGCCTGGCCAACATGGCAAAACGCTATATCTACTAAAAATACAAAAATTAGCCAGGCGTAGTGGCGTGCACCTGTGATCCTAGCTACTTGGGAGGCTAGGCAGGAGAATTGCTTGAACCCAGGAGGCAGAGGTTGCAGTGAGCCGAGATTGCACCACTGCACTCCAGCCTGGGTGACAGAACAAGACTACATCTCAAAAAAAAAAAAAAGTATTTAAGGACTCATAAGGACTTTCCAAGTACTCAATGCAAATAAGATTTTAAGTCATTTTCTTCAATCATACACCTGTATATCTGTCAAATTGTCTTTCATTGATATTCTCTGATGTTAGAGAATGCTCTCCCATTTGCACACTAGAAATTGCGTTTGAAAGTTTATAGCCATTCATTCTTCCATACCTGCTAAAATGAAAGAATGTTGCTCTAGGGAGTGTGGGAATATTACTCTTGAAATCTCTTCAGAGAAGAAAAAAATGTGGCAACTTGCTTACTTCAAGTTACAAAGTTTATGGAATATATTGTATCTTAATTTTTAAATGTACACTCCTCTTGTCACCAAATAATATTTAATACTGTTCATTGGGTTTGTGAACAAACATTTAGTACGTACTAGCTGTCAGTCACTATGTTGGCATTGGGAGTATAGAGTATGTTAAATACTATTAAGAATTCACCGATTAATTAAAGACATTCTAGGCTTCTCCCACCTCAGAGTCTTATATTTTCTGTTCCATCTGCCTGGAACACCCTTTACTTTGCTTTCTACATGACTGGCTTATTCTGTCATTAGCTCTCAGCTCAGTTGTTACCTCCTCAGGATGTCTTTCCCTACCACTGTAACTCAGTGTGCCAGCTCCATCATTCTGCTTACTTTATATCTTGTCATTTTGTTTACATAGTGGTACTAATTATTTCATCTGTTTACCATCTGTCTCTCTAGAAGAACACAAGCTTCATGAGGGCAGAGACATTCTTTTATTTTTATTTTTAAGATCCAGAGTACATGTGCAGGATGTACACAAGTAAATGTGTGGCATGGTGATTTGCTGAACCTATCAACCCAACAACACCTAGGTATTAAGCCCCGCATGCATTAGCTATTTTTCCTAATGCTCTCCCTTCCCCTACAGGCCCTACTGTGTGTTGTTCCCGTCCCTGTGTCCATGTGTTCTCGTTGTTCAGTTCCCACTTATAAATGAGAACATGCAGTGTTTGCTTTGCATTAGTTTGCTGAAGATAACAGCTTCCAGCTCTATCCATGTCCCTGCAAAGGACCTGATCTTATTCCTGTTTATGGCTGCATAGTATTTCATGGTGTATATGTACCACATTTTCTTTATCCAGTCTATTATTGATGGGCATTTGGATTGGTTCCACGTCTTTGCTATTGTGAATAGTGCTGCAGTGAACACATGTGTGCATGTATCTTTGTAACAGAATGATTTATATCCCTTTGGGTATATACCCAGTAATGGGATTGCTTGATCAAATGGCATTTCTGGTTCTAAATCTTTGAGGAATTACCACAAAATTTTTGAGGAATTGCCACTGTCTTCCACAATGGCTGAACTAATTTACATTCCCACCGACAGTGTAAAAGCATTCCTATTTCTCCACAACCTCTCCAACATCTGTTGTTTCTTAACTTAATAATGTGTCATTCTGACTGGCATGAGATGGTGTCTCATTGTGGTTTTGATTTACATTTCTCTAATAATCAGTGATGTTGAGCTTTTTAAAAATATGTTTGTTGGCCCCGTGAATGTCTTCTTTTGAGAAGTTCTATTCATGTCCTTTCCCTGCTTTTAAATGGGGTTGTTTGGTTTTTTCTTGTACGTTTGTTTAAGTTCCTTGTAGCTCATGGATATTAAACCTTTGTCAGATGGATAGATTGCAAAAATTGTCTCCCATTCTGTAGGTTGCCTGTTCACTCTGATGATAGTTTCTTTTGCTGTGCAGAAGTTCTTTCATTTAATTAGATTCCATTTGTCAATTTTTGCTTCTGTTGCAATTGCTTTTGGTGATTTTATCATGAAATCTTTGCCTGTGCGTATGTCTTGAATGGTATTGCCTAGATTTTCTTCAAGGGGTTTTTATAGTTTTAAGTTTTACATTTAAGTCTTTCATCCTTCTTATTCAACATTGCATCCTTGGTGCTTAGCATTGTATCCATAGTGCTTGACACATGGTAAGCACTGGGTAAACAATTATTGAATGAGCATACATGCTAAGAACTATAATATGTCATTGTAACTACAGTAATATACAAGTTGTGGGCATCCTGAAGAACAGAGCGATTTACTGTACCTAGAAGAGCAGGGAATGATGCTTTGCCAGAGAGATAATGCATGTTTGAGCTGGCTCATAAAGGAAGAATGAAAATTTGTCAAGTAGACTGGGAGAAAGGGCATTCACCATAGATGGCAGAGTATATGCAGAGGCCACAAAGTGTAAACTAATGTGGTGTGTATTTAGGGGGTGCTGAGCAGGTTAGGATTGCTGAAAAGTAAAAGTCTAGCAGGTAGCCGAGGGTGCTAAGTGTGGAGAGTGGACAGGGGCCTTGCTTGTTATGCTAAAGAATTCAACAATGGGCAGCTATGAAAAAGCTGTAAGCAGGGATATGATACAATCAAGTGATTAGGTAATTTAGAAAGACACCAGAATAGTACAAGGAGAGGAAAGGGTAATGACAAGACCGATTAGGAAGTAATTCCAGTTGTCTAGTTGAAAAATCAAGAGGGTCTCAACTCTGTGAGTAACTCTATAGAGCTGTGAGTGTCAATCCTGACTACACCTCAGAATCTGTAGGTTTTTACATTAATATAGACTCTTCTACTCAGATGTAGGAACTGCCAAAATAGGGATGACTCCTCTGGCCTGTGCTTTCTTGTGATTCTCTTAATTACAGTAGGAGGAAGTTTGAGAACACTAGTCAGGAACTGGTCAGAGGAATTTTACTGTCCTATTATTCCCTATCCAAGAAGATGCTAAATCAAACTTGTATACTATCTGCCCTGCTTGCAGCCCTTCTTCAAAGGTGGAATTTCCATAATCCTCAGCCAACTTTATGAGCATGATCTAGTGATTGCTTAGAGATTTGGGAGAAAAAGTAGCAGAGAAGAGGGGTTCTGACTGCTCTTACCACTTCTTGTTGCACAGAAACTGTGGGTTAGAGGTGACGTCAGTGTTTTTATCATCTGAGACATGTAAAGTGCTTATATCTAACTGATCTTTCTTTTCTCATTCAAGGCACTAAGGGGAAGATTTTTCCCCTGTTCTCTGATAGAAACATAGAAAGCAAACCAGCATGATCTCCAGATGAACAGCTTTGAGCAAGATTTACCAAGGGTGTTATGTTTTCTTCTTCCTCCCTAGTCAGTTGAGGAGCAAGCCGTAGACAGACCCTGTCAACTTGAGACTTAAGTTGAGAACAGTAGGTAATATTCAGATATTAAGAAGCATGGTGACAAACTCTTACAGGGTAGAGTTGTTATAAACTTAATGTGAGAGAATAAAACATGAACTGAAAGCTATTTAATAGGTTTATCTTGATTTCTATTGTAGGTGAAATTATTCTGGCCCTTCATCAGTTAGATCTTCTTCAGAAAACTATTGTCATATACTCCTCAGACCATGGAGAGCTGGCCATGGAACATCGGCAGTTTTATAAAATGAGCATGTACGAAGCTAGTGCACATATTCCGCTTTTGATGATGGGACCGGGAATTAAAGCCAACCTGCAAGTATCAAATGTGGTTTCTCTTGTGGATATTTACCCCACCATGCTTGGTAAGTAATGCAGTTCTGTAACGATTTATTTGTAATAATGCTGAAGAATGCAACTGAAGAGGTCAGTTAGTCAGTCTTTCAGTTAGAAGTCAGAGCCCCTGCTGACTTGTTTATAACCCTGAGCAACTCATTTAACTGTGAGTCCAACTGTGCTCTGAAGAATCAAGAGATTGCTTTTCTTGCTCCTGTGGCCTTCACTTATTATAGTCATTTTCCCTTCAAAAGATTTGTATTCAGGGTGTGACTATAAGCCATGCAGGACATTCAGGTTCATAACTTTATAGATATGATTTGTACATCATTTGATTCTCTACCACCACCTCCCTAAAATGTAAGCATTTTCTTTTTGAACTATTCTATCCACTTTGAAACTAGTATGAACATATTCTTCTTCAGACCCTTCAGATAGCTCTGTACTATTTGCTTTACTAGCTTCTTAACATCTACCAGCATAGCCATATGTCTAGAAAAGCAACATATGGGTAAGGGTAGTTAGCAGTTTTTGTTGAAGATACTAGAATAACGACATAATCAAATTTGAAGGAAATCATAGAAAACTAACTGCTAGTTTCTGTCTAATTTAGCAGAATACTTTAAATTCATTAGCATTTAAACACTAGTTTATCTGTGCTAAGACACCGTCAAGTGCAAAAAGTCCCATCGATTCATAAATTTTGGTGAAAGAAAAAGAATAACACAAGATATTTACATTCTCTAATTTCAGAAATGTTAAAATGTGAAAGAAAGATGCATCTTAAAGTCAAAGAAATCAGAGTTCTTTCTACCGCCTTCCTTCTGCCGCAAGTTCTTCCCTTCATTTAACTAAATTTGTTTAGAGTTCACTTACACCAGGGTCCTTTCCTTTTCTCTTTTATTTCACATCCCTTCTCATATAATTGAACATACTTCTTTCCAGTTTCTTGAATTTTTAATCTCTTCTGTTTCTTAGTCATTATCTGCTGGTTTCCCTTTATCTCTAAGTAATGTTCACACTCAACCATATCTTGGCCACTTTCTCATTCCATTAGTTTCAATCCGATCACTATTACTTTTCCTCATTTCTGTGTTTTTTAAAGAAGTTTATATATAGTTATGTATATTTGTGTCTCTGTTATTAGCATCTTTAGAGTTTTATCAATATATGCCTATATTCTTTACACTTTCCTTCCTTTATTTTTCCTCATGTAGAACTCTTCCTACCCTCCCCATTCTCCCAAAAAAATCTTCCTTGGGTCATCTTTGCTTGACTTTTTAGCCTCATTCTGTTTTCTGGGGGTATAGTAACCAGAACTGCAAAAAAGTATTGTAAAAGCTGGGGTGATTCTTTCTCCATTTTTCCCCTCAATATATTTCATAGTGATAGTTGGCATTTTATCTATTTGACTCTAGCAGCTAAATAGTTTAATATCGTTAGAGAGTTATTTACAATGAGTCCTATTCAATTCTTAGACTTTCTGCCATCATATATGTTAGTTCATTAAAATGCACAGTTTAAATCATTTCTCTTTAAACATTATTTTATATTTGCCCACAATGCAAATTTTGTACTCTACAATCTTAAGAAGATACCATTATTCTTGACATCATAAAAGTTAAAGGTCACCTGCAAACTGGCAGATTTTATGATGTATAAAATGTATAAAATATAACAGGTCACATAAGAAAATGCTAAATAAAATTTGTTAGAATGCGGAAATTCTCATGCATTTGCCTAGAAGGGCACCTACCTATCACTGCCTAATTCATGTTACTTGCTAATAAGAATTTCTCTAGCTAAGACAATACTGTTCCAGAAACTTCTCTACATTCTGTCCCAACTATGCTGGAAATGATATAAATTCCCTGCAACTGTAGGTTTTTAACCCTGCAATTCATCAATTATAATTTTCCAAAACTATAGTTTTATATAGATTTTTATTTTTCATCAGATCCTTGGTAATAGACTCCTTCTAAGTCACATTTCCCTGCAGAATATATTTTATTAACAGCATTTAGATCACGTGTTGACTAATAAAGGAACTAAAGTCAAAAACAAATGTCTCTAATTCTAAACTGTAAAATTAACATCTTCATGGCTTAGCACAGTTTACAATGTGTTTCATAATAAATATTTTTATTATCAGAAGGAAGAAAGCTATATTTAAATGATTTTTTTGCTTGGGAAAGAGCAAGTGGAGGAGAATACCTATGGATGGGTCTTTATATAAAACACTGAAACATTCTGTTACCCAGATGTTAACCAGTGATACAGTAGAAAGAGAAAGATGCAACAAGAAAGGGTCTTATGCTGGAGCCAGGAGACAACACTGTAACACAATTATTTACTTAAACTAATCTTTTTGTAAACGATAAAGGCTTAATATTCATAGAGCTCTTCTAAATCTGTAAGAAAAAAGAGGAATACCTTATTAACAGATTGATCAAAAAAATAAGCAATTCACAACAGAAAATAGACACAAATGGCCAATATATTTTTAAAGAGTCAAAGTCAGGGTCATAAAAATATTAAAACAGGAAAATGTTTTTCTTTCACATATAAAGTTTGCAAAAGTTAAGGAGGGTTAGAAAATCTTATATTAGAAATAGGTCCTTCTCATATACTGCTACTGGGAATATAAACTGATACAAATGTTCTGTAGGCAAATGTGGCATTACGTTTCAAATTTCTTATGTGCATACATTTTGACCTAGAAATCCTAATTTTAGGAAATAACCTGTAGATATACACATATGTTTATCTCCATGGATATTTATTACCATATTAAGAAGTAGAAACAATAGGAATATCTAGTAGTAATGGATTAGATAAAAAAAATAGTCAATTCTAATGCAAATCAAAACCTCAATGATATCATCTCACAATAGTCAGAATAGCAATTATTAAAAAGTCAAAAAATGACAGATGTTGGTGTGGCTGCAGAGAAAGGAGAACACTTGTACATTAGGAGAACACTTACACACTTTTGGTGGGAGTGTAAATTAGTTCAGCCAGCGTGGGAAGCAGTTTGGAGATTTCTCAAAGAACTTAAAACAGAGCTATCATTGGACCCAGCAATCCCATTACTGGGTCTATACCAAAAAAATAAAAATCATTCTACCAAAAAGACATGCACTTGCATCACTATTCACAATAGCAAAAGCATGGAATCAAACTAGGTGCCCATCAGTGGTGAACTGAATAAAGAAAATGTGGCACATATACACCATAGAATACTACAAAGCCATAAAAAATGAATGGCAGCAACATGCATGGAGCTGGAGGCCATTATCCTAAGCAAATTAACATAGTAACAGAAAACCAAATCCCAGATGTTCTCACTTATAAGTGGGAACTAAATATTGGTTACTCATGGACATAAAAACGGCAGCAAGAAGCACTGGGGACTATTAGAAGGGAGACAGAGGGAGGGAGAGGGCCAGAGGTTGAAAAACTGTTGGGCACAATGCGCAGTACCTGGATGATGCCATCGCTCCCACCCCAAACCTCAGCATCAAGTAATATACCCAGGGAACAAACCTGCACATGTACCCACTTAATCTGAAATGCTGAAAAAAAAATAGTCAACTAATTTTAAAAAGTGAAATATGTGAAAATTGCCCCCATGTATTAAAAAGAAAATGAAGGCTTTAAAATTGTACAAATTGATTTTTTTGTTTTGTTTGCTTTTTAGATACTGTATCCATCCAATTTACTGTCTAAATTAGCACGTTTTTAGAGTACTATTAACAATTACACCAGCATTAACAGGCAGATACTGAGGGTGTTCCTTTTTTAGCAGCCTTAGGAGCCAAGAAAGCAAAGATAATTCTGATGGTCTACGTTTAATCTGATGGATCATCCAACCTTTTAAGATAAAATTCCTCAGTGCTGGAAGAGTTTAAAGCTACTCTATTAGTAATTAACTCTAAAATTAGACCTGTGAGACAGTATGTTCTACTTTACCTCTGCTTAATACACAAACTTATACATATTTTGATAAACATCTGCAAAGGACCTATTTTGTTCTAACCAATCAGAAGCTTAAAATAGATATAAGCCAGTATCTATTCTTAGAGGTCTCAAAGTCCTTTCTTTATTAGCTTAGCTGTAGCTGTATTATTTTGTATGAATCCCTTTACACACACAGAGGAGAATCTTACAAAGAAAAGTTATATAAAGAGAAAAATTTGTTTTGAAATTGATTTTTCAAGGATAAACTTTGCTTATAGTATATTTGAGTTTTAAAATACTTGAGTCTTCTGGAAACTAAAAGTGAAATTACACTTCTGGTATCAAAAAAAAAAGAAAAAAAAAAATCTCAAGCCAAAACCTCAAGTGATACTTCCTCCTCCCTTCCATTCTATGGACCTTAGAAATGTGTAAAAGATGGTTATCCAGAAAACCATCAGTAGAAAGCTATTCAATAGGAAAAACCAATTGGGATTCCTGTTTTAATAAACCTACCTTACTTTCAAGAGTCTGTTGAAATTTAAGATGCTACAATGCTTTATTTAAAAGTTGGAATTTACAAGTCATTTTTAGAAGGTATTTTAAGAGTGTTTTAAAAAAATATTTTATGATAAAGCAGGAAGAATATGCCTAGTTTATTTGTGCTTATGGGTCAGATAAACTAATTCTATCACTAGAATGATATTATTCATTTCCTAATAGCAGCAGAAAAATTACATTTATGAATAGGAATTCTTTATAATATTAATAATAAAGTCAATATTATTATTTCTGAGATTATTACTTAAAAATTACTTCCCAAAATATTTTCTTCTCTAATACCTAGTACCAGCATTCTTTAGCTCAGTGAGTACGAAAAGTGTCTCATTTTGTAGTTAAAATTGTTTTGAACTTATTTTCATGTGAATTGTTTTCTAATAGTCTTTCTGTAAAACACCTGCTTTTCTCCACTTTAAAGATAAGTCTAGATTTTTAAAATTTTGAGAATGTAATTATATAAAAATGCAGTTGTAGTTAAAAGACTATTTCATCACTAGTGATTTAAATTGCACAACCCTTCTTGTTACAGGATCTTAGTGGAAGCCTGGGGGTTGGCAGGCGTTTTGCATAGATTCTTATGTTTTTATTGGCTGAGAAATACTATGAAGTTGACTAACTACAGTAAGGCAAGTCTTATTGTATAGCATTAAACAGTAGAGAGATTATAAGGCCGGACTGACTAAGTTCAAACCCCTCTTCACTCGTTACCAACTGCGTGACCTTGGGCAGTTACTCAACATGTCTGGTCTTCAATTTTCTCATCTATAAAAAGGGGGATAGGCCAGGCGTGGTGACTCACACCTGTACCCCCAGTACTTTGGGAGGGCGATGTGGGCAGACCATTTGAGGTCAAGAGTTCAAGACCAGCCTGGCCAACATGGTGAAACCTGTCTCTACAAAAATCAGCTGAGTGTGGTGTATTATCCAGGCTACTCAGGAAGCTGAGGCAGGAAAATCGCTTGAACCTGGGAGGCAGAGGTTGAAGTGAGGCAAGATTGCGCCACTACACTATAGCCTGGGTGACAGAGTAAGACTCTGTCTCAAAAAAAAAAAAAAAAAAATGGGGATAATAGTGGCTATTTCATAGCTCAGAACAATGCCTGGAACACGGTAGACAATTAAATGTTAGATATGGTTATCATTAATATGTTTCATTCTTCTTAGGTATGCTCTAAAAAATGTGTATATTAGTTTGCATCATTGCCATACCAATTGAATCCCTTAGGTAGTGATATGGTCAAGAAGAAATATAATGTCATCCCTCTTCAGGAGATCATCACACATATCCAGGTCTGCATTTTTATTATTTGTTTACTCGTTTTACATTTAAGTCACTCTTTCTTGAGAACCCTGCAGTTAACTTCTGGTCTTTGCTTATACTGCTGCGAAAGGTGAAACTTACTCAAAGTGGAGTCAGAATAACAGGTTTACCAGGAGAAATAAATATGAAAAATGATTTTAAACAAAAAATCAAATAGCTCTTTAAAAAGCAGTCTAAGCTAAAGTGCTTTTAAGGAAATTATTGATAACTATAGGAAAAATGAAAACCCAATTTTCTGAGGCACAGAAAAACTAATAAATACTTGAAGTATTTATTAAACATGGATATTTAACAGGGTGTTTATCAATTTTCAAAGGTATTTTATTCTATCAATAATAGACTGGAATCCTAAGTTCTCATTATCTCTTGGCTGGATTCCTGCGATTGCTTCCTAACTCTCTCTGACACTCTGCCCTTATCCACTTTTAGTCAATTCACCATTCTGTAGTTAGTGTCAGACTGTCATACTTCTCTGCTCAAAACCCTCTACTGATTTCCCATTTCACCTAGAGTAAAAATTCAGTCTTTAATTGGCCTTTGAGAGTCCAACATGATCTCTTCTCTTCCCCAACTCATCTCTTACCATTTTATCCATCACTTACTCTGCTCTCGCCAAACAGGCCTGCTTGGTGTTTGGGGAATAAACCAAGTAGGTTCCTGCCTTGGGGATTGTACACTTCCTATTCCCCTGGGGAAATACCCTCTCCCTAGATAACTGTAGGGCTCCCTCTAGCCTTTCCTCAGGACACTGTCTAAATGTGACCTTCTCAGAGAGGCCTTCCCTGACCACCCTGTGTAACACAGCACATCCCACATGCCTGCCATCACTCTGTCTCCCTTACCCTGCTTTCTTCTTCATTGCACTTACCACCGTCTGACACAGCTGTTTCTGTCTGCCCACATTAGAATGTTAGCTCTAGAAGAGCTTTTCTGCCTTGTCCAATATTGTTTCCCTACAACTAGAATAGCATCTGGTTTGCTGAATGAATTTTAAAAATGAACACTTGAATGGATTCTTACCCCAGTTGACTACTGACTTCTCATAAACACAGGAGAAACATAATTTTCTTAGTCTTCCAAACTTCCTTAGGAAAATTAAGAATGGTTCTAAAATAAGGTATTTCTAAGTATTAAAGGTCAATGAAATGCTGAATACAACAATGTCCCATAGCCATGAGTATGTGCCTGGGGGTTCCTGCCTCCCAACCTTCCTTAAGGGCTTCTTCTGTCTCCTGTGCCTCGCAGGTGGTGCCTCCTGGTGGCCGACACACAGATCACACTTACCCAGCCTCCTCCCTCGCAGCCTCCTTTCCACCGCTTACAGTAGCTAGTCTTTCTGTCTCGGAGCACAGCTAGTTTCACCCAGGCAACCGTTTTCTCTCGGGTACCTCCTCTTTAACCTCTTTCTCCTCTTTTTGTTTTTAACCAGTTATCTCTGAAATACTCCTCTCTTCTTTGTTTCCTATTTGTGAACCAAAAAGCCACTAATTTTGATTGGTTGGCAGAAAATTAATACTTGTGATAGTCCTCTTCCAAGGAAAATGGAAGATACAGTTTTTTAAAGTTATATAGGAAATTATATATATATATATATATATTAAAAGCTATATGTGAAATAATAAATCTTCAGAAGATTTGTAGTGGTTTTTGTCTACTTCCCTATTATCCTTTAATTAACCTGTTTTTGTTAAAGACAGTCAAGTTGAATTAATGTTCTTATTCAATTTTGTTTCATTTCTAACATTACAGATATAATTCTGTTTTTCATTGGAAATATTTATACATAAAATATGAACATTGAAACCAGGAAAGGGGTGGGGAAGACAACTACAGACTCATTTTGGAACAACCCTGATTACCCAGACATAATTAATAGCAAGTTTTCTATAGAAAGAAGGAAGCTTGAGGTCCCAAGTACCTTGAAAGCAATTTTTAAAGTACAAGCTATTTTTCAGTGGGACATTTCTCATGCTATCGTTTTATATGTCTATATTTGATAAGTTAAAAATTAGTTTCCTTTTATAAATATAATCCACAATTCCTGAAAGTGTGTTTTTAAAAATGCTAGTCCCTCGATATGCTACTTGAGAGTTTAAGTGCAGTTATCAAATAACTGTGGTGCATATGGTATACTGTATACCACTCCTGAAGGTTTATCATATACATCCGCAACAAATTCACATCAACAACAAATTTATGTATCTAGTTTTGTTTAACCATTATTTTGCAAACATATAACTACTAAACCCCTTTCTTATGTAAGTCTTGTTAGTAGCTCATGGAAGAAACTTTGAGAAACAAGTGATTATTTACTCATTCAGAGAAAAAAAGACTAGTGCTATTAACTACAGTACTGTTTGTCGAAGACTCCTATCTACCAGGCATTATTCTCAGAGTTCTCAGAATTTTATGTAAGGCATCTTATTTAAATCTAACATGAACCTAATAAATACAAGTACTGTGGCCACCCCTTTCTTAGAGATGAGGAAACTGAGGTTGAGATAAGTAAATGACATGCTTAAATTCACATGGCCTGTGGAATAAGCATGTGAATCTTGGTAATCTGTTTACAAATTCCGTATGCAATCTGGTCTCCATGGCACTTAATGGTATGAAAAAATGTGAAAGATGTCATTTGTGAGTGTTCAGCTAATAAAAGAATGAGCTATTTAAAAATATTTTGTTATTTTTGTTACATAGATATTGCTGGAATTCCTCTGCCTCAGAACCTGAGTGGATACTCATTGTTGCCATTATCATCAGAAACATTTAATAATGAACATGAAGTCAAAAACCTACATCCACCCTGGATTCTGAGTGAATTCCATGGGTGTAATGTGAATGCTTCCACTTACATGCTTCGAACTAACCACTGGAAGTATATAGCCTACTCGGATGGCACTTCAGTATTGCCTCAACTCTTTGGTAAATCTGTTAATATGTTTTAAGTGTAATATTATGTGTAATGAACTGCCCTATGTAACATTGCTCAAGATATCCAATAATCCTTGTTAAATAAATAAATATCTGCTACTTCTCATGCTGGGACAATCTACAAAAGTTTGCCATGTGAGGAACAGCTTCTTTGCAGATTAGCAGCTGAATCTCAGAAAGTGTCCTAAGGCTTTTGATCTGCGTCTCATGACTGAAACCAGTTTTCCCTGATAAGGGTATCTTCCAGTACTCATGACTATGTTTCCCAACATTGTGCCTCATTATTCTGAAGGATTAACACCTATCTTATGAAGCCTGACATTTTACATGTATTATTTAATAGTCACCACAACCCCACAAGATAGTACCATTATCCTCATTTTACACAGGAGACTATGAGTCAGAGAAATTTGGATACCTGTGTGAGGTCACACAGCTAAGAAGTAGCAGAACTGAGATTTCAACAAAGGTGTGACTGCAAAAGTGATGGTTCTTACACCTTATAAAAATGTCTGCCCACTTCACTACTCTATGAATTAATTTTTAAACAGCATTATTAGAGTTAGGGTTTTACATATTCTTTGTCCCCATTTAGTACATAAAATATGTGCTAAAGCTATTAGTAATATTCATTTCTCCCTAAGGCGCTTTCCCAGTTACAAATAGCAAAATTATTATTAAAATAATGCTTTAGAGGCCAAACTAGCCAACCCCCTTCACTTTAAGAGTGGAAGATTCTTGGCTTGAAAACAAAGTCTTGCTGGGCATGGTGGCTCACGCCTGTAATCCCAGCACTTTGGGAGGCCGAGGCAGGCGGATCACCTGGGGTCAGGAGTTCGAGAGCAGCCTGACCAACATGGTGAAACCCTGTCTCTATTTAAAAAATAAAAAAAGAAAAAAGAATAAAAAAGGAAAGGAAGTCTTTACATTTTCATCCTGATAAGTAATGGGCATTTCTTGCCTGTTCATTGGCCATTGTCAAATGAAATTTATGGGAGGCCATTGTTTTGAACTGAGTTCCTATACCAGAGCCAACAGACCAGATCAAACCAGAATGGGGTCACTGGCACTAGGTGCCCCATAACCAAACTGAGCTTTACAACAGCCCACTTAAAAAAACAAAACAAAAAAAAAATCACAATAACAAATCAAAAGGCCTCAGTTTACCTGAACCAGCATAAGAGAGTCCCCTCTGTTTTTACTGGATAAAGAAGTACGACTATAATAACGAATCTGCTTTTTCTTCCATGTTTCTGGGGCTTTTTCATCAGCCATTTTCTGCCTATGAAGCCCCTCCTCCTCTGCTCAGCTCATCAGAATGCCTTTTCGGAATCTTTAGATGAGATGCTGCCCAATTCATGAATCACTAAATAAAAGCCAATTTGATCTTTAAATTTGTTGAAATTTTGTTTTTTATACCATATTCTACCAAAAAAACTGATGTGACCATCAAAATGTCAGAGGGAGAGTCAGCCTTTTCTGTATTTTTTAGGACTTATTGACTTCCCTTTCCTAAAGACTTCTGAAGTTACCTAGCAAAGTCACAAATCTGTGAAGGGGCCTCTTGGCTAATGTACTCAAACAGGCCCATAGAGGTTTTTCCCTCAACATGCAGTGTTCATTTACTATCTGAAGTTAATTGTCATTAGATCTCTGACTTGCTGTTTTTCCAATTAGATTGGTATCCTAGTTATATCCTGTCTTCCCACACCATATGTAAAAGGTATGTTTATAGATCTGAAATATTTATCAATATTTATCATTACTTTCTTCCTGACAGTGATTGAGAAGTTTTTATTTCCATGGCTGTTTGTTCAAATGGACAGTACTGATGCATGTAACTTTCAACACTCCAAGCATAACATGCTAATATATAAAGAAAACTGGGACTAAGTGAAGTTGCAAGAACCTGACTTGTCTATATACAGAATTCATAGAAAGGTTGAGGCTATTGAAATGGTACAGTATAAGCACTACTATATTCATTTCTGCCTGTCGAAGTAGGCAGGATGTCAAAAACAGGAAGAATTTGTTCTAAACCAGCTTACTAATGATAAACGTTTGACTTTTTCTGGCATCTAAGAATAGATAAGAAAAAAAAAAAAGTGGGATAGCTGGACAATGGTAGGAAGGAGGGAAATTTGGGCATACGATAGGGTGTTTAACTCCTGGTACGTTATTTTACCATTTTTTCTGTCCATTTTATTACACTGAAAATTTTTTTTAAATCAAATACATTACCTGTCATAATGACATTCTAAAAAAATTTTTACTAGGTCACTATTTTGACGGATATTTAATTTTTTTTTCTTTCAGATCTTTCCTCAGATCCAGATGAATTAACAAATGTTGCTGTAAAATTTCCAGAAATTACTTATTCTTTGGATCAGAAGCTTCGTTCCATTATCAACTACCCTAAAGTTTCTGCTTCTGTCCACCAGTATAATAAAGAGCAGTTTATCAAGTGGAAACAAAGCATAGGACAGAATTATTCAAATGTTATAGCAAACCTTAGATGGCATCAGGATTGGCAGAAAGAACCAAAGAAGTATGAAAGTGCAATCGACCAGTGGCTTAAAACTGTTATGAATCTAAGAGCAGTTTGAACAAAAAGTTTAAAAATAATGTTCTGGAGCTACATATAAATATCATGATTATGAATTTTAAATATAACAATTTTGGTACCAATTTTTCATCACTTTGAAAGCAGGTAGTATATTTTAATATAAAATGCCAATGATTATAAAATTACATATTTTCAAAAATGATTATTATTTAGACCTTTGTAGAGCTTCTAACAATTTAGTGGAAGTATCAAAAAGATTGAAGCAAATACTGTAAAAGTTATGTTTCATTAAATAATAGAGAATATAAAATATTTTAATAATAGTAATACGAATCATAAAATAGTTGTGTGGTGAGCATCTGATGGTGCTTGACGAGTTATTTATATTGGATGGGATAGTTTGGATGTATTTGATGGAAGTATTTGGAGTATTTAACAGGACGTAAACTCTGGACTTACCTGATTTTATGACTGTTTTTTAAAATAGGTAATATATAAGCAGGGTAAAGCTTCAAATGGTACAAAAGGGTTAACAGTGAGCATGAAGTCTGACCTGTTCCTCTTCCCTGCCATGCAGCTCCCCTTCCAAGAAGCAAGTACTGAAACCACCTGCTTATGCATTATTTTAGAGATTGGCCACAAATTTATAAAAAAGTGTATATATTCCTTTCCCCCTTCACAAATGGTAAAATACTGCACACATTGTTCTGCATGTTGCTTCTTTTTCCCATTTTTTTCCACTTAACCATAGATACCTAGAGGTGAAATTACTGAGTCAAGACAATTTTTAGCAAAATTACACTAGATACTACAAACTACCTCTAAAGAAGGTATACTAACTGGTAATCTCCCCATCAATGCACATCTTCTTATCTTTTGCCAACCTAATTGATGAAAATATTCTATTTTTATTTTTCTTATGAGTAAGGTAGATCACATTTTCATGTATTTAACAGCCATTGGAATCTGCTTTACCATGACCTTTCCTATTTCTATTCTTTGCCTATTTTCTGTTGGTTGTTGGTCTTTCTTTTGTATTACAGGCATGCTTTAGGTATTAGCTCTTTGTAAGAGATTCTGCAAATATTTTCTTTCCAGTTTGTCATAGTCCTTTGTCTTTTGACTTTGTTCTGGTATTTTTTGATATGTAGAAACTGTATTTTCATGTAAACAGATTTACAAATCTTTGTACCCCATAAATATATACAATTATGATTTGTCATTTAAAAATAATATTAATAAAAAATTTGTAAATATTTGCTTTGTGGCTTTTGGAATTTTGTATCGTATTTACAGTAGCACTCTCCACTTCTTTTAGAGTTTTATTTTTCATCTTCGGATCTTTAACTCAGCTGGAATGTATTAAACGTAGTAGAAATCTAACTTTAGGTGTTTTTCTAATGCCTTCCCATTGATCTTTAATTGAGCAAACTGTCTCTTGTCCCATTGGTAAAAATGTCACTTCATCATATAATACCTTTGGTTGGATACATTCTTTTCCCCCATTGATTTGCAATGCCATTTTTATCTATACCAAAGTCCCATTTATACTTATGCCATTTCTGAACATTTTATTTTCCATTGGGCCATTCTATTTTTTGTTTCTGCTTTTCTTTTTTTTTTTTTTGTTTTTTTGTTTTGTTTTTGAGACAGGGTCATGCCCTGTCACCCAGGCTGGAGTGCAGTGGAACAATCACTGCTCACTGCTCTCCTCAATCTCACAGGCTCAGATGAGCCTCCCACCTCACCCTCACTAGTAGCTGGGACCTCAGGCCCATGCCACAAAACCCAGCTAATTTTTAAAATTTTTATAGAAACAGGATTTCACCATGTTGCCCACTGGTCTTGAACTGAACTCAAGAAAACTGCCTGCCTCAGCCTCACAAAGTGCTGGGATTACAGGCATGAACCACCATACCCAGCCAGATCAGTCTATTTTGTTTATTAGTCTGGTAGACAGTATCTGGTAGGACTAGTCCCTTTGCAATAGTTTTCTTTTTTCAGAATTGTTCTTCCTAGCAACTCTTGATTTTTCCATACAAATTTAGAATAAGCTTGTCTAGTTACAAAAATGGAAAGTCCTGTTGGGCTTGTTAATGAAATCATTAAATGTATAACCTACTTTAGAAAGAATTTAATTTTTTATGATAGTCATTCTAAAGAATTAGTATGTTTTCCCCTTTATTCATGTCTTCTTTTATATCCCTTAATAGTAGTCTAAGTATTCTTTATATAGATGAATTTCTCCGTAAAAATTTTTGAAAGTAGGGACTTTAAAAAATATCACCTAGGCCTACCCCACACCAGTTGATCACAGCTTCTGAGAGAGCCTGGGCCTGCCATGCCATTATTGTTGTCTTGTTGGGCAGTCCCTCCAGCCATGATTCTAATGTGTAGCCAGTGGTGGGTTTATTCCCAGTTGTTTTCTCACTTATTGTAATTTTCAGTGAATCTTCCTTCCATTATATCCTCTTAGGGAAGATCTTGTTGCTTGTATGTGCACTCCATTTCTACATATTTATTTTGTGCTGAACCACTTTATTGTAATAGTTTTTCAAATGATATATTATTTTCCAAGTAATATCTTACCTGCAAATAATTTTACCTTATACTTTCTCAAACTGTCTTTGAAGTTTCCTTCATGAGTTCATCTCCTTTATTTGTTTATTGTCCTTCAATGAATTTATATGAGCTTACCTTTGTAATTATTTATGAATTTCTGAGAAACAATTTTACTTTTGAGTATATCTGATTTTATTACATATATATATACAAATACAAACACACACACACACAAACACACTTTCTGAAGTAAAACTCTTAAAAAGAAAGACTGAATATGAGATCAAGGTTAAAATTAAACTATCCAAATCCACCATCCATCTCCTAATTAAGTCTAAAGAACACAAGTAGCTAAAGTGTGTGTATATATGCTAATAATGGAGAGAAAAGCAATAGTAATAGAAATGTGGTCCTGAAAACAGGCTTGTGAAGATAAATCTATCTCATTCTACCCAAGCCCTTTGAGATGCATTTATTGTAGGAATTTACCAAGTATCTACCATGTTTTAAGCATATTAAGTGTAGAAACATAATTAGGTACAATTGAATATTCAGGACAATATCTAATTCAGAATGGTATCTCACAATCACAAAAACAGAAAATTAAGAAAAACTTGAAAACTCAAGACAATTATCTAATGCTGGAATCTGAGAGGAACTGACACTAATTAGAAGCTGAAATGAGAATTGGGCTTCCATTTTTACTACCTCCACTACTAAGTTCTTATTCTAATCTACCATGATCTGTGCCTGGAATTTTGCAGTAGACTCATAAGAGGTCTCCACGAATCTGTCCTTTGCTTTCTTCAGTCTATTCTCAACAGAAGCCAGAGTGATCCTGTCAAAATATCACAGATCACACCCCTGGATACTCAAAGCCCCCACTGGTTTCCCATCTTTTTCTGTAAAAGCCAAAGTCATTACGATAACCTATAGGCCCCAAATAATCTGGTAGCATGTTCTCTTTAAGACTGCTTCTCCTCCCATACTCCTACCTGATTCACTGTGCTCCAGCCACGTGCCTCCCTGTTGCTTTCCAGACACACCAGGCATGCACCACCAAGACCTTTGCACTTGTCAATTTTTGTTCTGCCTGGAGCGCAGTTCTTCCTTCAGACTTTTTTCATGGCTCATTGTTATTTCCTTGAGGTCATGGCTCACCTTCTCACAAGGACTTTCCTGCTTTATTTTTTTCCATAGAAGTCATTACCATTTAATTTAGTGGGTGTTTTATATAATTAACGCTTTTGTGCTGTCTTGTACCCCTGCTGACCCTACTAGAATAAAAGCTTCAAACAGGCATGACATTTTGTCCCTTTTTTCTATAAAGTATCTCAAATGCCTAACACATCATAGAAGCTTAGTAAAGACTTGTTGAATTAATTTTCTGGGCATTATAGTTTTTCAAATATCACATTGCTTTAGAAAACCAACATTTAGGCTGTAGCAGGGTGGGGAGAAAAGGGAGTAGCCTTCTTTTTATTTTATTTTTTTTGAGATGGAGTCTCACTCTGTCACCCGTGCTAGTGTGCAGTGGCTTGATCTCAGCTCACTGCAACCTCTGCCTTTTGGGTTCAAGCGATTCTCTTGCCTCAGCCTCCCAAATAGCTAGGACTACAGGCATAGCACCACCACACCCAGCTAATTTTTATATTTTTAATAGAGACAGGGTTTCACCATGTTAGCCAGGCTGGTCTTGAACTCCTGACCTCAGTCAATCTGCCCGCCTCGGCCTCCCAAAGTGCTGGGATTACAGGCGTGAACCACCACGCCTGGCCAAGGAAGTAGCCTTCTAGAAATAGTAAATCATAGCACAAAAGAGCTAACAAATAGACTCTATTCCCCTTTGTTTTATTTTTTTTTAAATCGACACATAATTGTACCTATTTATGGACTACAGTGTATTTCCATACATTATATAATGTGTAATGATCAAATCAGGGTAATTAGCATATCAATTACCTCAAACATTGATCATTTATTTGTGTTGGATACATTCAAAATCTGTTTTTCTAGCTATTTGAAAATATATAATAAATTATTAATTACAGTCACTCCATAGTACTATAGAACACTAGAATGTATTCGTCCTATCATGCCATACTTTTGTATTCATTAATCAGTCTTCAGTTACTCCTCTCTCCCCTTACCTGTCCACCTCTATTAAACACTATTTAACTCTCTACCTCCATGAGATCAACGCTTTTAAGCTTCTACATATGAATGAGAACATGCAGTATTTATCTTTCTGTGCCTGGCTCATTTCACTTAACATAATGTTCTTCAAGCTCATCTATGTTGCTGCAAATGATAGAATTTCATTCTTTTTATGGCTAAATAGTATTCCATCATGTATATATATATATATATATATATATATATATATATATATATATATATTATACCACATTTGCTTTATCCATTCCTCTGCTGATGGACACGGGTTGATTCCATACCTTGGCTATTATGAATAGTGCTACAGTAAACATGGGGCGCATGTATCCCTTTGATATACTGATTTCTTTTCCTTTGGATACTTACCTAATAACGGAGTTGCTGGATCATATGATAGTGCTATTTTTAGTTTTTTGAGGAACCACTATACTGTTTTCCATAATAGCTGAACTAATTTACGTTCCCACTAATAGTGTATGAGTTCCCCTTTCTCTTCATCCTTTCTAGTATTTGTAATTTTTTGTTCTTTAGATAAAAACCATTCTAACTGGAGTGAGATTATACCTCATTGGGATTTTATCTTT